GTGTGTGTCCCCCCAAGTCGTTAACCTGAAAGGGTCGTTAGCGACTCCTGTCATATGACCACATGACTCATGCCACCTGGGTCATGTGGTTCCAGGTGTGAATGTTTGTGGAGCTTCCTGGGGAGAGAGCTGAGAACTGCATTGTAAGTGCCATAGAGATTGTGCCTGAGTCCACCCCCTCTGTTCAGAGAAGGTTTCTCCAGCCTGGTAAAGATGGCTTAACTCCTCTTTCAAACCATCTGTCTTCTCGAGCCAACACCTGTACATTGCTGTCCCCAAAAGAGTGACCCGTATCCTTCAAGTGAAGGTGGACAGCCGAGTCCTGACCTGAGGAAGTGGCTCTCCTGTGTTGAGCCATGCGCTTGTGAAGCGGTTGTTTAGTTTCCCCAATGTACAGGTCCGAGCATTCCTCGCTGCACTGGACAGCATATACCACATTACTCTGTTTATGTCTCGGTGTTTTGTCCTTGGGACGGACTAGCTTCTGCCTTAGTGTGTTACCAGGCTTGAAATGAACAGGAATGTGGTGTTTGCCAAAGATCCTCTTGAGTTTTTCCGACAGGCCTGCAACGTAAGGGATTACAGTGCTCTTGCGTCTCTCCTCCCTTTCCTGTTCAGTGTTTTTTCTCTTGCTGTTCTTCACAAAGGCCCACTTTGGGTATCCGCAGGTTGTCAGGGCATTTTTGATGTGCTTCTGTTCCTTTTCCTTACCTTCTTTCTTCGTGGGAATATTCTCAGCCCGGTGGTTGAGTGTTCTGATGACACCCAGTTTGTGCTGCAGAGGTGGATTCCCACCATCCTCAAGAGGTTAACGACTCGGGGGGACACACACCCAGAGATGGGTTTCTACGACCCATTCTTTTCAACTCCACCCAGTCGTTAACTGTCCCCCTTCTCCAGTAAGATAAATATCTGCTCCTGACACTAGCACTTTTAGAACTGAAGAAGCTTCTTGGATAAGAGGCGAAACGTCTTCTCAACTCTACACAGTCCAGTTGCCTGTTTTAAGTCATCAATATAACCATGACCTGGATGAATGAGAATCTACATGGACATAAATAATCATAATCATAATCATAATTTTTATGAGCCCTTGCACTCGCGTGCATCTGTGTGAATTTAACTTTAGATCCCTCTCTGCCGGGCGTGCGTGGGTGTGTGAGGGTACAGAGATGAAAGGTCTTATACTTCCATTTTTTTTTTTTTTTTTTTATATTTGAATATTTTACTCTTCTGTATACCAACCTTATCGACTATTTATTTACTTTGAAATACTACCGAGTGCTATTACTGCTGCCATTTTATTTTGAGGTTCTTATTGGATTGCTTAGTGTTAACCCATTATACTTATGTGGGGACTTAGCCTAGGGTTAGAAGAAGCTAGAGTGACCTGGGTGTTCGAACATGTCAGCTCAGGGTTTCAAGGCCTTTTTACTGTTTGGTTCTATGTATTTGTCAAATGAAAAACACTAACGTTTGTATATTTTTCTCAGCTTGAGTTGATCCAGCTGGTGGCACAACCAAACATCTACACAATATCAAAATAACAATTAACCCTCAGGGCCTAGGCTCATTAAGATTCATCAGTTGGAATATTAAAGGGATCCAGTATCCTATCAAGCGCAATACTTAAGCAGGTTTTCACATGCCTGAAATCATCAGGTTCAGACATCATCATCATGTAAAATCTGGCAGGTGCTGCAAAAAACATTGACCAATGGGAGCCATCCATCCCGGACGGCTCCTATTGGTCAATCTCCTGCTCAGCCTCTCCATCCAATCACCTTGCTGTATTAGACACATCCCTCTCTGTAGTTCCGACTTGTCCCCTCCCACTCTCCCGGGCCTCCCTCTGAGCAGCTAAAAGTAGTGTAGCAGCTTAGCTACAGGAGCTGTGATTGAAAAGGATACAAAAAAAAAACACTTCTGCTTGCTCCACCGCCTCACTTCACAAAAGGAAATGTGACCAAGCAAGGCATCTAAGTCGAATAAACATCCGGTCATTCTTCAAGCGGTGGAGAAAGCTCAGGACCCAGGATTTGGGTCTGAAAACAGATGCCGAGACAGCAAAGTTTTTGTTGAATAGGTAATTTTTGGCTTTTATTGTGTGTAGCAATCAAGACAACCCTGTCTGTGAAACTCACACATTCCTCACAGGAAAGTTTCCTTATCTGGTCCCAGGACACAGGATAATATAAATCTTTCCAGACTTGTTTGCCCTTTCAGGTTACCCAACTGACCCCAACGGAGGTTGACCGAAACCTCTGACTCTTCATGATTGGTCAATTTGGAGAACAGAGACAGAGTTTTTATTACCTTTCAAACTGACTCCATCACCGACCATCTAAATAAACATTAACGCCTCAACCCAGATCTCCCATTTGAGAATTATCGTCTTAAACACACAGACCCCAAGCAAAGGTCTGAGGAGCAGGACACTGACCTCCAGACCTCAGTCGTAAAACCGTGCTCAACCATGTTCTGATAAAAACTGCATTCCTTTGGAGAAGAAATACAAATGACTGATAATGGCATCTTATGCATTCAGCAATTTACTTATCTGTCTAATCATGAAATTTGTGTTAAAATGACATGTTTCCTGTTTTTCTTTGTGGTCCAGAAGCCAAGTTATCACTCTGACAGAATAAATCCTTTATTCTTTAGTTTCTTTAGACCAACAGCATTTCAGACTACTTCATTAACTTTTAAGAGTTAAATTTATTGACTATGAATCCTAATTTTACTCCAAGTAACAGAAATAGTTTAGAAATGTTTGGTTTATATTTTAATCATGTATTTAGTCTTTTTGGCCATTAGATGGTTACAATGTCATTGAATAGTCTGAATGTGAGTATTTAGAATCCATTATTAATCATGATGAAGTTCATTCACATGTATTTACACTTTTGTTGTTCACAGTCTCTGTGTGTTACTATCTGTTTCATTTCGGAGTAACTTAGCATGTTCAATATGATACTTAAAACATCATGAAAATGTTTGATGTGATCCTACATTTCATTCATATGTGTTAAGTATCGAATCATTTATCATGAAACCAAGCATTCAATGATATTAATCATAGTGAGTATCAGATCTGACTCTTTTGCCAGCCAAAAGTATAAGTTAGATCAAATAATCAGATATCCAAGAAGTCACCTCTGCAGCTGGAGACCCCACGACCCCGACACACCAGAGACAATCCCAGTGTGAAGGAGATAAAAACCGGTCAAGTGGGGTTGCTCACTCTCTTATGCTCATTCCTCTTGTCCTCTTTACTCTACTGCTTAGCCCTCTTTTTTGTTTTCTCTTAGCTCTTACTTTTTACTTAGCCTTACTTTTTCTTAGGCTTCTAAGTTTTACACCACATGTTCATTCACATTGACTTTTTTCAAATCTGCCTCAACGGCTTAGTTTTTTTCAACTGCTTCTCAGATTGTCACCATGCCTTTTAAGAAAATCAGGTATTTCATCCTGACTATGGTGACAGATCTAGAAGAAGAAGAAGAACTTCATTGATCACCGAGGGAAAATTCAATTGTCTGTTGTCTCACGTAATATGTCTATAAAAGTTATCTATTATTTATATAAGAGTTATAAAGCCTGATGGCTTTATATGGTCCATCAAAGTGTTGTGAAGTGGGTGATCCATGTTCTTGACAATAGTCTCCACCTTCCTCAGTGTAGATCTCTCCACCACATCCTCCACTGAGTCCAGCTTGAGTCCTACCACTGAGCCAGCCTTTTTCACCAGTTTGTTAAGACGTCTTGCATCTTTGCGTTTGATGTTTCCCCCCCAGCAGACTGCAGCATAGAATAGCACACTTGCCACCACAGACTGATAAATCATCTGCAGCGTCTGACTACAGATGTCTATTGATCTGAGTCTTCTCAGGCAAAAAAGGCGGCTCTGTCCCTTTCTGTAGATGTAGTCTATATTCTTAGACCAATCCAACTTATTATCCAGATGTACACCTAGGTATTTATATGATGTAACCACTTCGATGTCCACTACACAGGTGTTCACTGGCTGAAGAGGGGGTTTGGATCTACGGAAGTCTATGACCATCTCCTTTGTCTTTGAGGTGTTGAGAAGGAGGCAGTTTTTGTGACTCCAGTCACTGAATGCTCTTATTAGATCTCTGTATTCAACTTCTTGTCCATTTCTGATACATGCCACAATAGTGGTGTCATCTGAGTATTTCTGGATGTGGCAGGACTCAGTGCTGTATTTGAAGTCTGACGTGTACAGTGCGAACAGGAATGGCGCCAGCACTGTCCCTTGTGGAGCCCCTGTACTGCTCATTAATGTCCCAGAAACACAGTTCCCCAGCCTGACAAACTGTGGCCTTCCTGTCAGATAATCTGTGATCCAGGAAATACAGGAAGGATCCACTCCCATCTCTGTGAGCTTGTCTTTGAGTATGTTGGGTTGGATGGTGTTGAATGCACTTGAAAAGTCGAAGAACATGATCCTCACATAAACCCCAGGTTCCTCCAGATGAGACAGGGCAAGGTGAAGCATGTAGAGGACAGCATCATCCACTCCAATGTGTTCTTTGTATGCAAACTGCAGGTTTGTCTTTGACCTCAGACCTCAGAAGGCGTAGAATCAGCCACTCCAGGGTTTTCATGTGTGAAGTGAGGTCTGTAGTCATTGAGTTCAGCAGGACATTTTGTTTTTTGTACTGGCATAATGCAGGATGTTTTCCACAGAGCAGGTACCCACCCCAGCTGTAGACTCAGGTTGAAGATCTTGTGGAGAGGTTGACACAGTTCTGCAGCACAGTCTCTAAGCAGCCTTGGACACACACCATCTGGACCAGCTGCCTTCCCAGGACAAAGTCTTCCAAGCTTCATCCTCACCCCTGTTTCGGTGACAGACAAGGACTGGTGTTCTAGGAGGAGGCAGTTGAAATGGTGGAGGAAGGGGAGAAGTTGTAGTGGAGATTTGTTGCGGAGAGGAAGGTGGAGTAGCAGTGGAAGTGGGAGTAACAGCAGTGTCAAATTTTGTAGACGTTATCGGTTGTGGAACGTAACAAGCAAGTGAGAAACTCCAACGGCATGCACTGCATGATTATTTTGTACCAGCCTTTTTTCGTGGGTGGCTTCTCATCGATCCAAGACAACAGGACATTCTTCCTTGTGGCATAGGTTAGGAGGTTGAACAGACGTTTGTGGGATTTGTTCACAATCCTACGATCACGCAGTCCTAAAATCAAATACAAAGGTTCAAGTTCAAATTCCATGTAGGAATTTGAATACACCTGCTAGTGCTACTTGGACACGTCATCAGTGAAGTACCCGGGGTCATAGGGTGTTTCGGGTCTTTAATCTTCATACACCCTCATCTGGGCGACCCAGCCGGGGGTGATCAGTCCCCGACTTGTGTCCAAGTGGCGTGGTGTTCCACGGATCCCCCCTACGGATCCACAGCCACCGCGAGGCCCTTTCTGCGGCCTCTAGGATGTTTCTGATGGCTTTCTTCAATTGCAGTCCTTTTACTCCAAGGAGTTTGAGGGTTCTCAGAAGCGATGTTGAAGATCTCATTCAACTGTTGTACAACACTAAACCAATAACGTTCAATGTTACAACATGACCATATATAGTGGAAATAGTCTCCTTCTTCAATCTTACACAAGACAGAGAGGCGATAGACTGGGGTTCATCTTATGACGAAGGCTAGGTGGGATCTGCAACCGATGTATAGTTCTCAATTGAACCGACCAGGCCCTATTACACACTGAAAGTTTTTTAGCATTCTCAAATATTTCACACCAATCTCCATCAGCAATTTCAACTCCAAGATCTCTTTCCCATTTCCTCTTAGCATCATGTGTGTTAACAGTTGCATAAGATCTCAGCAGGCCATAGAAAAAACTAATAAAACCCCTTGTGAAATCCATTGTCAATGCTCTCTCTATTGGAGAGGTATCTATATTAGTTAGTAGCGTTGTACGTCTGGAAATAAAGTCCCTCACTGAAAAGAACCTGAAAAATTGTCCACGAAGAAGACCATATTTTTGTTGTATTTGATTAAATGACATGAGTGTAGGACCATTAAATCAATTTCCCAGTGTTGTAATACCACTATCTCTCCAAGAATTAAACCCTGAGTCATCAACGCCCAGAGTGAAGTCAGGGTTCCCTTGAATTAAGGTGAGAAGTGATGTCAATTTGGCTCGACCCTCTAAGAGTCTAGCCATCCTCCATGCCTTCAGTGTGTTGGAAACAATTGGGTTATTACAGAATTTCTTCACTGTAGCTGGATCTTTGACAAATAGGAGATTTCGGAGAGGGCAGTCACACTGTGCAGCTTCAATATCTAGCCAATTGAAAGCCTGTCTCCCCTAAGCCATGTTGCTACAAATCTTAGATGTGCAGCTGCCTGATACCATTTTATATTGGGGAGTTCTAGCCCACCTCAGAGACAGGGAGTTGCAATTTCGCTAATTTCAACCTGGCCCTTCTCTTGTTCCAAATAAAAGAGCTCAACCATCCTTCAATAATTTTAACCAACTTGCTTGTAAGGAAGACAGGAATCATTTGAAGTGGATATAGTAACCGTGGTAATATGTTCATCTTAATGAGCGCCACTCTACCCAGCCAGGACAGTGGTAGTGATGCCCATCGGTCAAGGTCAGATTTAATGACGTTCATCAGAGGGGTAAAGTTGGCACTATATAGTTGTTCGAATAGGGGAGTAATATGAACACCCAAATAAACAAAGCCATCGGGGGAACAGGTCAGGGGCACTTGGTATGTTTTGTAGGGAACCCAGTGGCATGGCTTCCGATTTGGAGAAGTTAACTTTAAAACCCGAGAAGGATCCAAACAAAGGTAAAACATCCATAACAGCTGGAACAGAGACATCTGGTGAAGTTAAGAATAAAAGAACATCATTGGCATATAAATTAATCCTATGTTCCCTCCCTCCAACAGCCACCCCAGAGATCATAGGCGACTGGCGTATAGCCTGGGCAAACGGTTCAATGGCGATGGCAAATAGTAAAGGACTTAAAGGACAGCCTTGTCTATTGGAGCACTGTAAAGAGGAGTCCCTAGACCTAACGCCATTAGTAAGAACCGCTGCTTGAGGGTCATTATACAGAATTTTAACCCATTGAATGAATGTGTCGCCGAGGTCGAAGATACTCGTAGTGTGAAAGAGGTACGGCCACTGGACCCTATCAAATGCCTTCTCGCTGTCGAGAGAGAGCACTAGCCCCGCCTCCTTTTGACTATGCATATATTGAATAACATTGAGAAGTCTCCGTACATTGTCAGAGGAGTTGCGGCCCTTCATAAACCCCGTTTGTTGAGGATTAATAATAGTAGGGAGTACCTGTTCGAGACGTAATGCCAATATTTTAGACAATAATTTTAAATCAGCATTTAGTAATGCAATTGGCCTATAAGAGGCACAATCCTCTGAGCACTTTCCCTTTTTGAGGATGAGTGTGATATATGCTTCCCTCAGAGACTGGGGGAGAATCCCTGTTTCACATGAGTGGTTGATCATGGCCAAATAAGGATCGATTAGTAAATCTTGAAATTTCTTAAAGAATTCACAGCCAAAACCGTCAGGACCGGGACATTTACCAGATTTTAGATTTGTAAGGGCAGATCTCCTCCTTTGTGATGGGAGCGTTTAGAATGGCCCTCTGCTTGTCTGAGATCACAGAGAGGTCAATACTGGAGAAAAAATCATCCATTATTCGGGGGGGCATCATCACTCTGTTCTGATCTGTATAGGTTTTCATAAAAAGCAGCAAACACATCATTAATAGTTTGGGTCTCATAAGTAATATTGCCAGTAGAGTCCTTAATTGACACAGTAGTCTGTGAGGTTTTCCTCTTTTTAGCCAGATAAGCCAAATATTTACCTGGTTTGTCCCCTGATTCATATAAACAAACAGACTCTCATTTGATTGTAAGGACAGCATACACTCACCGGCCACTTTATTAGGTACACCTGTCCAACTGCTCGTTAACACTTAATTTCTAATCAGCCAATCACATGGCGGCAACTTAGTGCATTTAGGCATGTAGACATGGTCAAGACAATCTCCTGCAGTTCAAACCGAGCATCAGTATGGGGAAGAAAGGTGATTTGAGTGACTTTGAACGTGGCATGGTTGTTGGTGCCAGAAGGGCTGGTCTGAGTATTTCAGAAACTGCTGATCTACTGGGATTTTCACGCACAACCATCTCTAGGGTTTACAGAGAATGGTCCGAAAAAGAAAAAATATCCAGTGAGCGGCAGTTCTGTGGGCGGAAATGCCTTGTTGATGCCAGAGGTCAGAGGAGAATGGCCAGACTGGTTCGAGCTGATAGAAAGGCAACAATGACTCAAATAACCACCCGTTACAACCAAGGTAGGCAGAAGAGCATCTCTGAACGCACAGTACGTCGAACTTTGAGGCAGATGGGCTACAGCAGCAGAAGACCACGCCAGGTGCCACTCCTTTCAGCTAAGAACAGGAAACTGAGGCTACAATTTGCACAAGCTCATCGAAATTGGACAATAGAAGATTGGAAAAACGTTGCCTGGTCTGATGAGTCTCGATTTCTGCTGCAACATTCGGATGGTAGGGTCAGAATTTGGCGTCAACAACATGAAAGCATGGATCCATCCTGCCTTGTATCAACGGTTCAGGCTGGTGGTGGTGGTGTCATGGTGTGGGGAATATTTTCTTGGCACTCTTTGGGCCCCTTGGTACCAATTGAGCATCGTTGCAACGCCACAGCCTACCTGAGTATTGTTGCTGACCATGTCCATCCCTTTATGACCACAATGTACCCAACTTCTGATGGCTACTTTCAGCAGGATAATGCGCCATGTCATAAAGCTGGAATCATCTCAGACTGGTTTCTTGAACATGACAATGAGTTCACTGTACTCAAATGGCCTCCACAGTCACCAGATCTCAATCCAATAGAGCATCTTTGGGATGTGGTGGAACGGGAGATTCGCATCATGGATGTGCAGCCGACAAATCTGCGGCAACTGTGTGATGCCATCATGTCAATATGGACCAAGCTCTCTGAGGAATGCTTCCAGCACCTTGTTGAATCTATGCCACGAAGAATTGAGGCAGTTCTGAAGGCAAAAGGGGGTCCAACCCGTTACTAGCATGGTGTACCTAATAAAGTGGCCGGTGAGTGTAGATTCAACAGCAATACGAGAAGCATTCACTTCTCTCAGGTTACCAGCAGAGGGAGACCTCAGATAATTCTGCTCTGCCTGTTGCAGCTTATCTTCCAACTGTGTTTGTTGGAGGGCACTCTGCCGCCGCCTGCTGGCTGAATAGGATATTACGATGCCCCTCGAAAAGACCTTGCAGGTTTCCCATAGAATAGATGGATTAGGTGCAGAGCCTATGTTAGCTTCAATGAAAGTTTTGAAGTATGAAGTAAAATGAGAAGTAAAAACATTACTCAAGAGGGTGGAATTGAGTCTCCAAGACCTAGAGAATCTATTTATCTCACAGAAGGATATTTCTAAATAAATTGGTGCGTGATCACTCACAATTATGCTCCCAATTTTGCATGATGTCACTGAGTTAAGGAGATATTTAGGCATAAAGAAATAATCCAACCGTGTATGACATTTATGGGGATTACTGAAGAATGTGTATGCTAAAGAAGATGGGTTAAGAGTCCTCCAAACATCAACAAAGTCAATATCATTACACATTGAGGCAAGTGTTGTGGCCCGTCTACTAGGTGGCGTGTCAGAGGGGGGACATTTGTCCAAAGGACTCATATGAACATTAAAATCACCCCCAACATACTGGTAGTCTGCACTCAATTTCACGAACTCAGAGAATGCCTTGGTTAGAAAATCAGTAGGATAACCTGGAGGTCAATAGATATTCATAAAAACCACAGATTTACCAAACAAAATACCCCTCAAGATGACGTATCTGCCCTGCCTATCTTTTATAACGTGTAGATCTGAATGCAACATTCTTATAAACTAAAACAGCTACCCCCCTTGTATTAGAGGCATAAGATGTCATAAAGACTTCACCTATCCATGTATGTTTTAACTTAAACTGGTCCTTACTCTCCTCCAAATAGGTCTCTTGTAAAAAAGCAAAATCAACCTTTTCCTTTTTAAGAAAGCTCAGCAATGTTCTCCTCTTAATCGGTTTGTGTAAGCCCCTGACATTCCAAGAGCATATTTTAAGATTATTCAATGACATTTGACATGAAAAAGAAAATAAACAAATGAATACATAGAAAAACAAGGGTCCCCTTTGCAATGAAATAATAATATAGACAACAAAATGGCACCAATCTTTTGAAAGTCCAAATAGTAGGTATAGTATTATATAATAGTAGGAAACAAAAAAGTGCCACAAAAACGTGTCCATTCCATACGCCGAGCGAGCAACACACGCGAACACACAAAGCCAAAGGGAGCCACACAGTACACTTCTTGTGCAGTCTGTCCCAGAGCTGTAGCTCGCCGCTTCCATTTATCCAAATGAGAGAAATATAAAGTGCAACTTAGAGCTTAGCTGCCCAATTATTATGTTCAGCAGAGGCATTCTTGATCCAAAAGCCAAAAATAGTGCATCCAGGGCTAAGCTGTAGCAAAGCCCTGAGCTGCAGGCACAGAGCTCAGGGAGCTGAGAAAAGTAGATGCCTCCTTAGGGGTGTTGCACAGCATTACCTGATTATTGTGCTTTATGCGAAGCACCCCGTTGTGCAGTGTAGAATATTCCACTTTCTTTTCTCTTAGTTGCTTTCTGATGTCATCGAAGGATTTGGAGGGTACCTTGAGAGAATCAGAACGAGATAGTCGCTCCCTCAAACAGCAGCTTCCCTCCGTTCTCCGTGGCACGTCTGGCTGCATCCATCATCCGTTTCTTGTCCCGGGAGTTGTGTAGTTTGGCAACTACACCACAGGGAGGTCGATCACGTTGGTTGCTGGATTTCTGATTAATTTTAGGCCCAAGGCGATGGCAATGGTCCAGCTTGATTGTCCCTGACTTGGTCTCAAGCTTCAGCAGTTGTGGTATCCATTTTTCAAAGTATTCAAGCGCATTGTTGCCTTCCAAAGACTCAACACATCCATATGCGTATATTGTCACGTCTATGTCTGTCCTTGTAAGAGTCCAGGCGCTCGATTGGGTCCTTAAGTTGTTTTTCGAGCTGCAATACACAGCCGTTACAGGAGATCGTCGCGGTTTCCACCGTATCCACTCGTTCCTCCACCTCATCGAGTCGTTTTTCTACAGTCTGTAGCCCAGACACAACTTTCTGAACAGACTCCACGAGCAGACTCATCTTTGCATCAATCACCTTTGTTAACTGATCCGTCATAGCCTTGAAAGCCTTGGCTGTAGCTGGGTCAAGGCTGGTGTTAGCCTCCTTGCTAGCATTAGCATTAGCTCCAGAGGTGGACTCTTTTCCCTCCTTGGCAGCTCTCGTTGTTCTGCCACCTTCTTTAGACGGTGCTGAGCTCATAACACGGCTGTTTCACATCTGAGAGGGCAGCTTCAGACAAGAAATATGTGATAAATGACAACATCCCCAGATAGACCAAGTTATGATCTGACTTGCGCAGTGGTGGTACGGCAGTTGCTCTGTAGGCTTCTTTGACGTTGGCATACAGCAGATCCAGGGTCTTGTTTTCTCTGGTAGGACAGTTCACAAACTGTGTGAATCCAGTCAGGTGAGAGGAGAGGGTGAGACGTGGTTGAAGTCTCCTGATATTATTATTAATGCCTCAGGGTGTTGAGTCTGTAGCCTGGCGACACTATTTTGCAAAACATCGCAACATTCCTCAGTTGATTTAGGTGGAATGTAAACAACTACTGTTATGATATGACTAAATTCTCTGGGAACATAATACGGCTGAAGAGCAACTGCCAACAGTTCAATATCTGGACAACACAACTTCTCCTTGACAGTTATGTGTGAAGGGTTACACCATCTCTGGTTGACAAAAAAAGCCAGACCTCCTCCTTTCTTCTTGCCACTAGCTTGAGCATCTCTGTCTGACCTTATGAGAGTGAAGAGTGAAGCCAGGTAGATCCACCTGAGTTGTTTTGATTCCAGGTTTCAGTAAAACACAGGAAACTGCACTCACGGTGTGCTTTCTCAGTCTTCACCAATATCTCCAGCTTATCGCTTTTGTTGGGCAGAGAGTTGACGTTTCCTATGATGATTGATGGAAGAAAGGGTTTATATCGCCACCTCCTAGCACTCAGCTTTGCCTTCACCTTTGCACCAGCAGGCAACCACGATAACACCTCCTGATGTACTCTGGAATTGTATGTTTTTGCCCAGATTTGCTTTTCCTCAGTGAAAGGAGCTCTTCTCTTGAGTAAACTCTTTGCCCAGCAGAAGTATCCATCAGCAGCCAACAAAATTACAACAAAAATATGAAAAAAATCTAGCATAAATTACAAAAATTACAGATAATACAAAGAGACCAGACTTAAGCGCATCATTTGAATTGAGAGAGGTATTGTGATACTAATTAGGAAAGGTCTCCCTTTCATACTAGTTAGTATTATACCAGATAATAATGGTTGATTCATTACAGTAACAGGAAATCTGTATGATAACTTGGTGGCACTTGTCAATATTTATGACCCCAATCAGGATAACTTTCAGTTTTTCTCTAGCCTCATAGGAAAACTCCCAGACCCTAATAAGCATTTGTTGATACTCATAGACTGTATGGACAACTTGGTTCGGCCTACCGCTTGTATACGGATTTGAAGCCAAAAAGCTCTCCATATTTCCGGGATTTTTCTTCATTTCCTGAAACCAGCACTGCGCAGTAGCAATGCATGCATTCAGCCACGCAGTCGCAGAGAGTCGCTGTGATGACGCTCGGCTCAAACTGCGTCTCCCCTGGGAGAGCTACGCAATCCCTGGACGCCCATAGGCTGTATCAGGTGTCAATCAAAGAAAACATGAACCCCCTAATAATTTTTAAAAACGGAGCTTCACAGAAAAAAGAGGACTTGAGCACAAACCAGTCTTACTGTAACTACATGTCAACATCACAAGCCGGGGAGAAAAAATGATGTTTTGTGTAATAAATTTCTAAAGTTTGTCCACAGCTCCATAAGCTTTGCTGGCGGAGGCGGGATTTATGACCGATACAGAGGGTGCTGTTCTCGGAGTGGCTTCACCCAGCGAGAAGGCAGACTCTGTCCATTCTATATACAGTCTATGTTGATACTAGGGGGAGATTGCACTTTACAGCCAGCTTTAGATCAATCTAATCCTAAACAAAACAAGAATGTGCCCAAATCAGGTGCATTACTTGTGTGTTTCATGCAGTCTCATAAATAATATGATCCTTGGAGACACACCAAGCCCTCCGCTACAGTTTTTCCATTTTTCGCCAGTTCACCTCTCGTATTCGAGAAAAACCTTTTTCCTTATCAATTATAGAATGATGTCCTTTGTAATTGATAGCAGATACCAACTTCAACAAACAATGGCATAAGGCACAATTCTTGAAATTTGTGTTTCACCAGACTCAACTTCTTCACATCCACAAACTATCAGAGGTTGCTTTAAGGCATATTACACTGAACTTTGCAGGTCACAGGCCTCTGCAAATATGACAGACATTCAGAATTTCTAAGACAACCTAACTCTACCAAAAATTAATGCGGAGGACAGAGACATGCTTGATATCCACATACTGACTGAGGAGATAATACAGGCAATAGAATCCATGCAAAATGGAAAAACAGGTGTTTGTTTCCAAGCTGGCACTCTTTTTTTGTTCATTGTTTCAGGAATCTGCTTCAGACGGGAAACTACCTCCCATCATGACACAGACCACTATATCAGTTTTGCTGAAGAAAAGTTGGGACCCATCGGACTGTGTCTCATCTTGTCTGATCAGCCTGCTATGCTGTGATTGTAATACTCTCACAAAAGTTCTAATACATCGTTTAGAAACAGTGATACCAAAAATTATTGATTCTGATGTAACTGGGTTTATACCAGGGAGGCAGTCATTTTATAATATGAGGTGTTTGTTCAGTGTGCTCTACTCTACCCACTCAACCCAGAGAGCAGAGGTTGTATTTCCACTTGATGCAGAGAAGGTCTTTGACTGGGTTGAGAGGGAGTATGTATTTACAGTACTTGTTAAATTTGGTTTGGGTCTCGCTTTTACCTTGTTGATTGGGATATTACAGGGCTGTATGTTAACTTTTTTTGTCCATAACACTGGTGCTACCGGGTTTGACTATCTTGTAGCAAAAGACAAAAACTTGTAGCACAATATATGACATGTCTACATAAAAAAACAGGTTGTGTGACTGGCAAAGGTACAGTAAATAAAATTAACCATTGGAAACAACAAATGTATTACAGTAATGTAAAATATGATTTTCATTTAATAAGAGAAAAGATGAAAATGTACGTTGGAGAGAATCAAACTGAGTTGCAACCAATTTGAAACTAAACTTGAAGACTCTCCTCACCTCATCTACTAATTTAAATATATCAGCTAAACCAGCTTGATTTTGAGCTAAAATGCAAATATTTATATATAAAATATAATTATTATGAAAAAAAAAGAACTGATTTGAAATGTAAAAATAAGAGATGTGTTTCATGCAGCCAGTAGATTATTATCCCACACTGATTTTGAGTCAATTGATCACATTACCTGGAAGCTGCATGAGATACACCTATTACATTTCTAATCTGTTCATAATTTTTTATACATTTTATGTTTATAAATATTAGCAGTTTAGCTCAATAGCTTTCAGGTCATTTGATCAACAGACTCAAAGTCAGTGTGGGGTCATAGTACTCTACTGGCTACATGAGACACACCTCTTGTTTTTATATTTTCAATCAGTTCATATTTGTCATTAATTTTCATATATAAGGAAGTGTTTCCCCTGAGGCGAATGTCTGTCAAATTTCCAACTTTAAACCAACTTCATCCCGGAGTCCTTTACTATAGTTAGGGATGAGAAAGCTGAGGAGTCAACAATTACAAACCCAGTCATGGCGGTGCAGCTTGCAGTCAGGATGCTAAATTTAAGGAAACATTTTTACCTCAATCAGCCAATCACTCTCCTTCCCTTGTTTCCCCCGTCCCAAAATGACACTGCCTTATGAAACGGGTTGGTATTCTTCAAATGCCTCTTTGTAGACACCACATTTGCTTCCTTTGACCTTCTACAGAAAGACAATAAAATTCCTAAAAGCCACTTCTTCAGATATTTACAGTTGCGCAGCTTTGCCAAAAGCACCTCCCATTTCCTGACTTACCACCCAATATGTTGAGCACCATATTGGAGCATGACCCCAATGGAAGGAGGAGGATAGCCAAAATTTACCAAATGTTACAGGATAAAGACCCACCTTCATGGGAAAGTACTCGGTTGGCATGGGAAAAAGATTTAGGCATCACAATATCTGAGGAGATATGGCAAAAATGTTTAAAACTAATACACACCACATCTCTCTACATACTGCATTGTCTTATCTGATTAAAAGTTGCTCTAAACAATTTCTGGACAAAAAATTTCGAAGCTGTATCTTGCATACATGGTGTTGCAGAGTGTTTCTAATGCTGATAGCATGGAGATTGATTCTTATGCAGTAGAAGTTGGTAAGACCTCCCTCATTTAAACAATGGGTTAAGGAGGTGCTTTCTATGATCCCACTGGAGAAGCTGAAATGCAGCCACAACAGTAGTAAGGACAGATTTATTGAAACTTGGACTCCCTTTATAAAGTATATTGAGAACATATCTTGTCTGTGAAGACAGACTTCACTTGATACTGCTCTGACGTGCCAGTCTTTGCACATACAGTGCATCCGGAAAGTATTCATACCACTTGATGTCAAAGTGAAAAACTTTTTTTTTGAACATTTTGCAAATGTATTAAAAATAAGACACTCAAATGTTGCATGTACATAAGTATTCACACCCTTTGCTATAAAACTCAAAATTGAGCTCAGGTGTATCGTGTTTCCACTGATGAGCCTTGAAATGTTCTTTTAACTTGATTGCAGTCCACCTGTGGCAAATTCAGCTAATTGGACATGATTTGGAAAGCCACACCAGATATAAGATCCCGCAGCTGACACAGCACGTCAGAGCACAAACCAAGCCATGAAGTCGAAAGAATTGTCTGTAGACCTCCGAAACAGGGTTGTTTCGGCGCACAGATCTGGGGAAGGTTACAGAATAATATCTGCTGCATTGAAGATCCCAAAAAGCACAATGGTCTCCATCATTAAGAAATGGAAGACGTTTTGAACCACCAGGACTCTTCCTAGAGCTGGCCGCCCAGCCAAAATGAGCAAGCGGGGGAGAAGGGCCTTGGTCAGGGAGGTGACCAAGAACCCGATGGTCACTCTGACAGAGCTCCAGCGTTCCTCTGAGGAGATGGGAGAACCCTACAGAAGGACCACCATCTCTGCAGCACTCCACCAGTCAGGCATTTATGGTAGAGAGGCCAGAC